AGGACAGATGCTATACTTTAATTCCCCATTATCTGAAGTTGTGGGACAGAAATAGAATAAGTTGTAATATATGGAGCAGCCTGGGTCAGAAATCCAGAAGCCCCAGCTTTGCAGCCCTGGCTGGTAACCCACGTGACGGGGCATTTGGTTTCCTCTCTGGGATCTCATTTTTCTTCACAACAAAATGGAGATAATACCAGCCTTACTTAACTTTCCTGACCTTATTGGAAGACTCTAATCATATTCTACATTTTAACATACCTTAAAAACTATAAAGTACCACAAAAATAAAAGTAGTGTTCTTTTGATAACTTATAACTATTTGTCCTTTATGAATTTATTTAATCTTTCCTAGTTAATCACTAAAAGACTGAATATGCAAGTGGAAAACAGCCAGATCACATGTAAAAGTAATACCCTACAGTAACCAGACAAGGAACTAAGTCAGACTTGTAGGAAATCAGACCACAGTCTCTAGCTACTAATCCAGAAAGCCAAACAGTAGCCTATCTGACAATTGGCCCCAAACTGTCAAGACTTGATTAATAACTGGCAGCTTTCCCAATTTTTGCCTCAGCTTCCAACTCAGGACCAACCGGAGAAAGCCAAATATGCACCTTAAACCAATCATGTAGGGTGCCCCTCTTCTGGTTAGCCTGCCTACAGTTTCCTCAGGCCAACAACCTTCTTTTCTTAAAAGAAAACAAAACAAACAAAAAACTTTAGACAAATTAAATTTAGCAGAGTTTATTGGAGCAAAGAAATGATTTATGAATTGGGCAGCACCCTGGACCAGTAAAAGTTCAGAGAGCTCCACACAGCAACATGGGCTGGCAGTATCTATAGACAGAAAAATGAAGTGACATGCAGAAATGGCCTGAATGGTTAGTTTGGTGTTTGCCTTATTTGGACATCTTGGGCAGTTTACTGCCTGTGATTGGTTGAAAACTTGGCTGTCATGATTGGCTGAGACTTAGCTACTTGTTACAAGAACATACAGCACTCTTAAGTCACAGTTTGTTTATGCACTAAGTTAGGCTGTAGTTTACTATGTACAGAGGCAGCTTTAGGCCAAATTTAATTCAACACTTTTTTCCACTATACAGCTGTTCCACTCCTCTGTCTGCCTGTGAATTTCTGTCAAATGCAAGCTCTAAATAAATAGCTTTTGCTCATTCTTATTTGTTTGGTCTTCATTTATTTCTACATTGCTATAGTCCCTTCTAGCTCTAAAATGCTATACAGGTGTGT